CATGTTATTTGTTTAACGGAGCGGAAGGCAAATTCTTAAATGACCCGTACGAAAGCTCTATGTAGGGGTAAATTTCAAAACGGCTATTTTAGTTCACCTGACACAAAGTACCAAAGAGTGTGCTTTAATGAAAGTCTGCTGTCCGTCCGTCGACTTTCCTTACATTCTCCCGAAAAGCAACTTGTCAACTTAGTGTGGAGTTCATTCCCCTCACACTACAATTCCATAGTAAATAGACAGGGCAGGGAACCAGACAATGTTGTCAACTTAGGGAGCAGGGGACTTAAAAATGAAAAATTTTGTATTTCAGTGTGGCCAGAAACACAATTCCAAATATTTCAAAATCTGTTTCACAGGCAGATAACCAGTTGCACAGCATTATTCAATGATTATTGATTATGACATACATTCAAGAAAATAATAGTTTGCATGCATTGCTCCTTAAAAAATGACTGACAGCAATTTTATATTTACCTCAACCCAGCCGAAATCACACCTAAAATATACCAATATGGGCAATCTTCATGAAGGTGCAGCATACTTCAGAATCCGTCCGATCCCTTAAAAATATCACTAACATGCAGTGCAAGCGATGGCATTTTCAAAAATGACCAATAAAGTGTCTGTCATACGTTTAGATTTTTCACAAAATTTATCCGAAATTTCTTACTTGTTTGGCGCCAACTGTCAAAGATTGATTTTTAACTTTTTCACCTCCAATCGGAGAATTAAAATACATACAAAACTACCAAAATGCTTAGTTTCGGGTAAAAACCCCCCAAAATACTCACACAAACAAGAATAAATAACAATGACAGAGAAATATCCAACGTTTACGGTACCTTCAAAAGACCATGTCTGAGTTATTAAAAAAGTTGACCGGGGCCATCATTCGGATATGTCCCCTGCCCCCTTAGTCCCTTACAGTAAATGTAGGCAAGGAACCAGACTACTTGGATAAGAATACTTTGATGCATCTTCTCTAGAATGTAACTAGCGCGAATCTCTGCAAAAGTTCGTAGAGATCTGGTTGTTGTCCATGGCTGAGTGGTTAAGGTCGTTGACTTCAAACCACTTGCTCTTGGCCGCTGTAGGTTAGAATCCAGCTCTTTCGTAGAAGAAATCTATCCAGCTAGATAACGTAACGTCTGTGGTTTTACTCAGGTTCCCGTTCCCGTCCGTGCCTGATGTATCTCCATGGGGAGGCATAGACCTTAGATATTTGGTATATCTTGGTTCGCTATGGGATCATAAAAGGCACATTATGCCTCAGAATTTAATATTTTCTTTCTGTAGAAATGCATTTCAATAAATCAAACTTGTGAAAAATGTTCTAAGATTTTAGGAAAAGTAGAAAGATATAAGATTCATGTAATAAGTTACATGTTATGAGCAATTAATGGGGAATTTTTTAATTATGTGTAATGATATTTCTACCGCGTTACTAACGCAGTAAGGGGAATTTTTGCATATTTTAACATGTTTTTTTCTAATCAACTTGGGTTGTAAATGTCATTGATAATGTGAAAATGGCTTCCTTTTGGTCACTATACAATATTATACATTTAATTTCATTTTCAAAGTTGTCATGAAAATAAGCATTAATCTGGAGGCGTGCTGCTTTAATAATGGATTTAGAGCATGTTAGATGTTTAACAATTGACGATATTAGTAACTATACTAGTAACGTGCAGGGGAAATGTAGGGAAAATGTAAACTTAGTAGTATTTTGCCATCATTAGAAAACACAAGTTCACTTTAATTATTCCAAATGCCAACACAGCTTTAATAACAAAAGATTATGGCGAATCAGCATTTCTTTGGAAACTGCAATACAAAACAAACGAACAAAAAATATAATAATAATAATAATAATTAAATTCAGGTTCCTGTAAAATAACAAAGTGTTTAAAAAAATAAACAAAATTGATAGGATTTCCGGGTAATGGGCATTTTAAGCTATGGCCCTTTCATTTGAAGGGTAAGTTCAGTATTTCATGTGACTATGTAATTATTTTAGCTTTATACTTTCAAGTTTGAAAACTAATCAAAAAAAGAATCTAATTACATTGAAAACATGGCGCGTTGACCTCTTCCTGGTAGAAATAATGACCTTTGTCTCCTTGCAAATATTAGGTGGGCGATTTAAGGCTATCATAGTCCTCTTGCTGAAAAAAATATAACCTAATTTTTTCAATAAACAAAAACATGCGTCTGCATTAAAGATGAGCGATAACTCAAGAAGCGGTCCGATTCACCGTCTGTAATGATAATGATGTCGTAAATTTACAGTCACGAATTTTCTACCCCGTTAACCATCCGCTCGTTTACATCATAAATCGAACTATCATTTTCATTTTAACCGTTAACAAAATCTTAATCTCAAATCATCACCTCGTACTATCAAAACCCGTCGTGAAATTTACACTGCCGTTATTTTCACATTAGCGACACTTGAGAACGCTTGTACACGAATAGTTTACGTGTTACCTAGCAACGCGCGAGAAATCGTATATCCATATCCCAGGTTTATTTATATATCCACAAAGGAGGCATTGTAAGAGGGCAAGATTAAGAAAAAAGGGGCCCGCAGATAGAATTCACGCCGCATAGTAAAGAGGCATGTTTTCCTCTCCCAATTCTGATATATCAAAATATCAGATTTTGATTTACGGAACTGAACATGATTTTATCAAAATGCAAATACATGTTAGTTTTCTTACGAAAGATACGATTTAAAAGTTTTATTTAGTTTTTCTGGTTAACTATCGGTAAATAAATATATGTTTAAGGTATATTTGATAGCGTCTATTTTAGATGTCGCATGATAACCGCACCAACAATATATATCATAAATTTTCTTTCAGTAATCAGATCGTATCGTGTCAGTTTGATTTATTCTTTTAAATATGGACATTGGAAAAACAAATAGTTTATAGATTATAGGAGACTGCAACGAATTCTTCCAAAGTTAAAAACAGTTAACTGAACTAGATCGAAACATGTTTAAAAATACATGTACTATGTTCAGTTAAAACAATGGTTAGTATTATGCTTGTGAACAAAACTGACACATGTCTGTTATAGGTCAACTTTAACACAGGAATTCTTTTACTTCCACTTCACAAAAGTTTTTTTTTTTTTAAATTTTTGGTGGCCTTTCAATTCAAAGTTTCCTAAAAAAAGTATTCATAACCTTAAACATCTTTTGATTTTCTTGTTTTTTTTTGCAGTTAGTGAAAATATAATGATTAAATATTTTGTATGAAAGTAGAAATACTATATTGTTTACATTTTGCTACTTTTATGAAATATAACTCCACAACCAGCGAAAATGAACCTAAAAAGCATGCAAAAAAGCACTTTAAATATCGACACTTTTAGATTGAATAGTGACTCCAGTTTATTTTTTTCTCCCATTTCTTCATTTTATTAAATCAATATTGATTAATCTCGTATTCCGAGTCTTTTAGTTAATGTTTATAAATAGCAATGACGATACGAAATGCAAACTCACACCCACGCTTTCCTCAAACGTCTTGAACTGCATTATAAATAGCTAGTTAAGGCTTTAATAGGTCATATTGGCAAGGTTATCAATTTTTTATCATTTATTTATTTTTTTTATATATATTTTTTTTCGGTGTGAGAATTTGAAGCAAGTTTATCTTAAGATTTGAGAAAAATGTTACGTTGCGATGGTTTGATAGTTTTTTTAAATGATATATTGTACATGTATTTATAAATAAGGTCTTTCAAATAGAATTTCTGTTATATTCTATCTGAATGACCCTGTTTTATCTTACTACGGCGAGTTTTTTGAAGTGTTTATACAGTAAAACAGGGTTTCGCGCGGCGGTACGGTGTGCCACTTGGGCCATGGCTTATGAATCGCGAAGTAGCTTCCATCAGGCCGTGTAGGCCGCGGCCAATGTTTTTTTTCTTCGAAAAATTGAGAAATCATTGACTTCTCTACCTGCAATGCTTATCGGATGATATGATTTTTTCCGGCAGGTTGTATTGGTAATAACAACATGCAGAGCAGATAACATGATGTTGAAAAAAAAAGGCTTGAAGCTATGATCAGGCAATAAGGCGTCAGCCAAATCCCCAACAATATTAGAAAACAAATGCGGCATTGCTTAGTTGTCAATAATCCGCCCTAAATCACGGGTAAGTAAACGTAAAATAGAGAACAACAGAATCCCCAAAGAAAGCCCAACACGGCAAAATTGTAAATGTTGCAGACTCGGTTTGATTGAGCCTGTTCATAGACGGTACTGGAAAGTGCAAGTTACCATCACGCCACCTAGCACCAGCTTAAGCAGAATTCAACATATTGCGAAAATGGTGAAATTTGGAAACATCCGCAGATGTGTTCATATGGCAGTAACATGGAACTTTCAATGTGACTCAGTAGTGCCATACCATGAAAAGCGGCGTATGGTCCCCAAGTAAATAATTACGTGTTAAATAGAATTTTGTAAGAGGACCTGAAGCTATGAAGCCTGTCGTGCCGTTCATTTCAGAAGGCAAGAAAATACACGAATGAACAATGTAAGAATCGGCGAAAAAAAGGCGAAATTTTTCTATTTCGTGATCATGTTTGTTTGTTTCATTTTACGCCTTTTCCCAACAGTATTTCAGTCATATAGGCGGCCAGTTTCCTAACCATCGTTCCTGGAGAGTTACACCAGTACTAGACTACCTTCCTCCATGCTTAACTACCAAAGCATCTCCCGGGGATCGAACCCACGCCAGAGAGGTAACTGGATTAGACGTCATCGACTCTAACTCGACCATGATTTCTTCAAGTAGTTAGAGGTACTGCTCCAACACTGTAGTGAATGAAATTCATAGTACAAGTACATCAAATCATCGCACTTATTACGTTGAATAAAAAGCGAAGTCGTAAAAGAAAAAGAAATATTCAAACAATAATTTAGATTTTCCAAAGCATCTATTTATTTCAAAATAAAAAAAGAAGATAAAAAAATCAACATGGTTTAACATTTTTAAATATTAAATAGAATATAAAAACCAATGAAATCAATAATATTAATAATAATTATTAAACTCTTAAAATGATAAAAAAGTGCTATTTTCTACATTATTAACTTATTAATAAATAATTTTATCAATCATATAAAAAGTAATCACAAAAACCAGACCTGGTTTGATACTAATTATAGCACATTAATGCTACTAATATATATCAAATTATTTTGATTCTATTTATAGCAAATCTATGTTTTTATAGCAAATTAATGTTATTTATATATATCAAATTGATGTTATTTATAGTAAACAATTTATGCAATACATCTATATTGTAAATTCATCAAAATTACTTTAAACATGTTATATGCTTGTATATAAACGTTTTTTTTGCAATATAACCATTGTCTTAATAATTAGGTTATATAAGATTGTAACCGTTTACACCGGGTCATATAACCTTTCATTGTTTTATATAATTCAAACTTTGCCGTCAGGGTCATAGTAATTTTAGTGCTCGCCAATTTTTTTCAGCCAATCACCGACGAGGATTTTTCAAATTTTCAGGTTTCAAATCTTTATAGAACAGATTTTATATAAACTGGACGTTTTATATTATAAAACGCAAGTGGGTGGAGCACTAAGCCGGTTAGAGTGCATATTGGATGTTCTTCGTAAATAAGAAAGCTACAGTCGCTTCGCAAGCTTCGCTCCTTTTTAGCTTTCTTATTTACGAAGAACATCCAATATGCACTCTAACACCCAATATGCACTCTAACAAATACTTAGACCCTAAAACCAGCTTTTTTTCTCACACGACATACTAACAAAGATTTTATAACAAAAAATAGAAAAAATGCTAGCTAACCAATATGCGTTTAAAGATAGAAATATATCAGTCACCATAATGAAGAGAAAGGTAATTCCTACAAAAGCTGTTATATCTATCCACACGATATAAAAATTTTAATTTTGATACAGTCTTGTGTAACACACAAAGAACTCATTAGCTTTGACAATTCCTGTCCCTTCACATGACCAGCCAATCAAGTCCGATGATGTAGTTCCGAAGTCTGTACTCATACAAAAGTGTATTTCACTTCGTAAAAAATAAAATACTGAACTTTTTCATTCTTTTTCCCTTCAGTTTTTCATTCCATAACCTTGCAGCTTGTTTGAATGTATGCAAAAACTTATCGTCAAATTATTTTGTATTGTATACAAGCACTCGCGCGTACCACGAAAACGTGCCATACGCGTGATTAGAACGGGAGAACATGTCACTGAGTAATTGTTAATCAAGAATTATCTCCCTTTGTCACACTACACATGGATCACCGGCGTCAACATTTTCCCGCTCATTTTGCGGTTTGAATACAAACGATGTTTTCCCACGTGGTGACGTCAACGGACTTCTGGAGCTTTCATCAAAGAATACGTTATCACGTGTATATTTTTTGGAAGGTGAAGGTGGGGGATGAACTGGGTGTTTCCCAGCGTTTCTGTAAAATAAAGATCAATATATGAATAAACATGGTTAGAGATCCACGAGCCAAACAAAAAAATCATATTGTTATATGTTAATTGTTTATTTTGTCAACCCAATACAATCAATATTATTCGGCTTACTTCGTTACCTTAATGGTGATACATACAAATATTTCCGTGTCCGTTTTAATTAAGAAGACATTTTGTATTTGCATGCAGTATACACTCTGAAATAGTTTTAATATAGAATAAATTTTGATATACATGTAATGTGTCCAAACTGACATGAAGAATAATGAGTCAGTCAAATGAACCTTTGCCCCCAAGTTTCGCGGGAGGTCTTGCTATAGCGATGCTTATATTAATAGTGTTTCGTTATAAGTTATTGCACATGGGGTGCTCTGAAGTGTAGCATGGCGGAAACTTCACATCTCTTGTGGCGCTGTGTTAAGGTCTAAAAGCTCTTGGAATGTCAAAGCTTGCAACTGTTAAAATGCTTTTATTAAAGTATATATTTTTCGTAACATTTACAACTTGCATGCTCTGCTTTTTAATGTTTAATGTCAAAGATAAACAGCTCCTGGAATGCTCTTTAGTGGACAATGTCAAAATTAAAAAGTTCTTGGAATGCTCTCATGCTCTTTAGGAAATTATGTCAAAATAAACAGCTCGTGGAAAGATCTTTAGTAAACAATGTCAAAGATAAGCAGCTCGTGGAAAGATCTTTAGTAAACAATGTCAAATATAAACAAACTTTGGAATGCTCTTTAGTGAACAATTTCAAAGAATTAAAACCCTTTGCATCAAGTGATTAAGTGTTCAGTGTAAAGTACATGTACTTGTACATGTATTCCAAAGACATACATACAATTCATGAGATACTCTTTGTGTACTATGTCAAAGACCAAAGACATAAAAGTCATTGAATACATCTTAGTGCCATGGATTATGTCAAAGATAAACTGTAAGAATGTTCTATAGTAGATTATGTCTCATTAACATATATTTAAGGGTGCAATTTCAAATACTCACAACTCCTGGAATGCCCTCCTTGGGGACAACTCTACTGAAGAGTCGGAACAAAATCTTTCTCTAAATGGAGAATGTGCGGTCTTTGGTAGGAGAACCTGATTGGCTTGCTTCGTGACAGAGGCTGGCTCCGAACGGGTTCGTCCGTGTACTGGTGTAAGTGGAGACTTGGTCGGTGTTCCAACGATAGATGACTCTAAAGATGTGTCTATAAAAATAAACATAACTGATACATAACCAGATTAATTAATTATAAATATTCATAAAATTTGTCTAAATATATTAACTTTTGATAACTATTTATATTTTCTCTACGTATTTTTAACCTAATATATGCACATTATTATTTTGTATTTAGAAGCCAATGTCCTCTACAGGTCGACTCTAACACGTCTTTGGTCATAATCAGCGGTAGATCCTACTAATCGACTTGATAACTAAACAATACTCGGAAGACGGACTACTTATCCCTCGCGATTTCTGAATCTACGATGAGAGACAAATGATTATTAGACTCAATGTACGTCTATAAATGTATTAGAATACGTATGGAGTACAATGTACAAAATACAATGTTAACGTAATTAATGTAAATTTTGATATTTATCTTATTAGATATTTTCATTGTTTAACTGTAGCAAATTCTGTTTGTATTTTTTGTTCACATACATGGCTACGATAACGTTGGATTTGTATTTTACTCTCATGTAATTTTATTTTACTTTTTAAAAGTTTTACCAAGTTCTTGCTTGCAGTCTAAATAGTTCTTCCAGTCAATTTCAACCTTCAGATCTACGTCTTCACAACCATGTCTCTGTAACAACTCTTCACTGATAAAAGCATCTTTCATCTGCTTCTGAAGTTCCCCGTCCTTATAAAAATGCCAAAGGTCCAGTAATGCATCAACATTTGGACACTTTATCCTAAATACGACACTTCCCGAGAATACCTCCTCAATGGTCCGCCCATATTTACAAAGGCACTTGATACCGCAAAGCACCCGCATCGACATATAAACGTTAGCGTTTGTCTCATTCAGTTCGTTTTGGAACTGGTCATGCGCTTCGGCACTTCTATCTGTACGCCTGATCTTACTGTAAGCGTCCATTGCCATAAGACGTATCTCATGCTCTATTTGCGCACATTTACAGTCTTTGTTATCGTGTTCTAACTCTTGCAGTATTTCATCGGTCTTCTTGGTGTTTTCTTTTATACTCTCGCATGTAAGACGAACGTCGATTTCACCTAGATTTTTTGTTACATAAAAAATCAAGTTTTAAAATTCTTGTAAAGAAAGATTATATAGAGATCAAGACGACAAACACAATTTTTGTAAAAAAAAAAAGAAAAAAGAAAAAAAAAACTTAGATTTATATTGCGCCCACATGGACTTTACTAGACCAGATGACATAAGGGCATCTGCGCCTCAACCAGTTATGTCCTAATATAGACTCATTCTCCCAGATCATATGGTGCATATAAACCACGATCATAATCAAAAGTATATGACATAATCTTCTGTTAATTTTGCTTAGAAAATAGAGGGTAATGCCCTTTTACAAGTCTTTCGATATATTTATCACACCGCGTATTCCATATATCATGTCGTTGTGTAATGTGAACAGATAGTTTTAAATTCAATACATGATTTGGCATCACGGTTTAACTTATTTTACGTTGAATTTTATATAGACATATATTAAACTTGTTACGTGATCTCGATAGCTTCTAAACCCTATTTAAAACATTTTTTTTTATAAAAAAAGTAATAAAAAATTGGCCGAGACTTCAATTGTTTAAAATTCATTCATTCATTCATTCATTCATTCATTCATTCGTTCGTTCGTTCGTTCGTTCGTTCAATCATTCATTCATTCATTCATTCATCATCATTATCATCATCATCATCATCATCATCAACTCCGCCATCATCATCATCATCAACACCATCATCATTAGCCTACTATCATTATAATTATTACCAGGCAGACGCTCCCTTGGCGGATTCCATTCCTCATAGCTAATGTCTCTCCTACCAGCCGATCTATTTTGGCGGTAACGGCCGTATGCTTCTCTACTGCTCTCAAAATGATCTTGCGGAACTCTCGGGTAGATACCTTCTTCATCTCCTAAACCATGTTGAGGGTTATTGCGGCGGAAAACGTCTTTTAGGTTCTCTAAGCTTTCGGGGTGGAAGTTCTGCGCGTGAAGAAGACTTAAAACTTCTCGTGGTATTTCCGTTGACTGGTGTGCAGTTGGACGGCTGTACTGACTAGAGTTTTGTCGTCTGTAATCTGAACAGTAAGAACGCTTTAAATTTATGACACTCAATAAATTTGAACTGTTTTTAATACGTGATAAGTAGTATTTTATTCGTGTAGATCAAATTTTAAATTAATTCAACCCTATGCATAAAATGATATCATGCTAGCCAGAGGCTCGCACAATATGAGCCCCTACTCTTTCCCTTACACCCTTCCTTTTCCCTGTAAAATTCGTATGAACCCGTCTTAACAGTAACTAGATACTATCCTGCCCCACCCTCCTTTCTCCGTCAATTTGCCCTTTCCAATTTATTGGCCCGGTGCCCCCTCCTGGATGCCCTATCAGTGTGGCTGATTTATGTCGGGGGCTGCGTTCTGTGAACGTTGCTTAGCTTTGTAGATATTTGCCCTCATTTTTATTTTCATCTCGTTCATTAATCAATTCATTGAACCTACTCTCATTTAATTTCCTCTATAAATTGATATTATATATATAGAACTGGGGTAGCCCCTCTCAAAATAGAGACTGGTCGCTATAATAGCTTACCAATTGATCAAAGACTATGTTTTCACTGCAACACATGTATTGAAGATGAGATTCATGTATTAATCCATTGTTCTTTATATGACACAATTAGACAAGAGTTATATAGAAAAGTCACTGAACAGAATCAAGATTTTCCATTGTATAGTGAGTCAGAACAGTTTGTCTATCTATTGTCAAATGCCGATATTGTTAAATATACGGCCAGAGCCTGCTCTAATATTTTACAAGAAAGACGTAAAAAGTTGTACAATTGCATGTGATATTTGCTTAATATTTTAAAAATGAGTTTATAAGTTTTAATATGTATATATCTATTTTCACGGTTTGACATGTTAAATAAGTATTTTATTAATAATGTCTTAATTTAATGTTTATATGAGTCGTTTAAGGTTTGTTTTAATTTCCAAGAATGAGAATATGTTTATTTTATATGGTAATGTGATATGCAATATTATCTTTTAGTCTCTCATAACTCTTTTAGAGTGGTTTTGTACATTATTTGCATTTTATCTATTTTATTGTATTTAATGTTATATATGTACAAAAGTGAGACTTAAATAAATTATCTGTCTGTCTGTCTGTCTGTCTATAATTTGAAATTGTTTTGAACACGAGGTATCGCTTGACCTAGGAAATAATAAGTAAATAGCATTTTGTCACCAGTAAAGATCGTGCACTAGCTCAGTGTTTGCATTGTGATTTTGAAACCATAAAACTTCAAATGGACATTTCTAAATGTAAAGCTGGACATACCCAGGAGGTTATAAAGGGTAATTTACCATTAACGTAGCTTGAGTCACTCTTTACAAACAGTCTTCGTTTTGCATCCTCTCTCCAGCATTCACTATACCGATCTTGTGGCTAAAAAGAAATGTTGTCAAGGAACAAAGATAATTTACAAATAACTTACACATTGCAAACAGCACTTTAAAAATACATGTAAAAACATGTAAAAATAGCTCTTACTGCGTTAGTCACGCAGTAGAAATATAATGAAACTTACTGCAAAATCAGTCAGTCATTCATTGCATATAACTTTAATCTTGAATCACGTTACTTTTTTTTAAAATCTTTCTTCATTTGTTTTCTCAAGTTGGCTTTTCTTGAGATATTTTGGCTCATCTTAAGGCATGCAATTTGAAGGAAGAGTTTTTGGATCCACTCATTAGATTTTTTTACAGGTATTACGTTAAGTGGCAAATTATTATGTGATTTTTAGAGACCGTTTTTTTCTGGATGATATATTTAATGGAATGAAAGTTTGTAACAGATACAAGTAGAAAAAAATGAAACAATAAAAACCCATAAATCTGCAAAGATGAAGCAACCTGTTTATGGTGGGCAGTGAGCACCCATTCCTCCTAGGACACTCTTAATCAGAGTAAGATACTTTGGAAAGATGTAATGGAAACTTTTAAGTTTGAAATATCCGGAATAATACGTGTTCCTCTTTTTTTCCAAAGTACAACATCAATAAAAAAAAATAGAAAGAAAAGGGAAAATTGCAGCTTACCAATGAGTTACGGGACGGTTCATCATATTGTCTACATAACGGACTTGGCCGCATGATTGCATCGTACATTTGGCGTGGACTACATCTCGGATCAGACAATGAACGGTCGTACCTGTTGCGCACTTCTTCGCTTATCTCTCTAATGTCTTTTTCATTTGGTGATCTATCGTTGTTACTAAAGCTCCTTAACGTTCCACGTCGAAGACTTTCTACATTTCTTGATGTCGGAGACATTTGTCTGAGACTTGTTGCATCGTGTGGAGAACCATACACCTCTTTAGCTCGGGCGTATTCTCTTTCTAGAACACGTAGCCGGGCTTTAAGTTCATTTTCCTCTTGAGCCTTTTTTGACCGTTCATTATTAGATAGAACAGTAGATGGAAAACGTGGTCTTGTCTCAGTTGAAACAATTCTTGGACTAAATTGGACAGGCTCAGTAATTGTTGCTTTCTCTGGCCATGAGAAACCTCTTTCCGAAACGTGATTTTGTCTATGATGTTTAAGATGACAACTCGAATAATTTGTCTGTTCCTCGTCTTGATTGTCAACATTAGTAGTTTCACTGTCAGGAAAGGTTTCCTTCCTGTAAACGCTCTCATGTGTCAATCTATCTAATATTGAATATCCTTCTCTTGTTTCAGGAACATCAGTATCTCTGTAATCGCCATGTATGTTTTTGTATGGTGATAGTTTTCTTGGTGGAATTGTATCAGGAAATACAAACACTTCTTGCTCATTGGTACGATTTCCACCCGCCGCATGTGTCCTACTGGTGAACGGTGACGTAAGGCCAATGTCGCTGAGATTAAAACGGTTTGGACTAGGTAACGGAACATACTCTGTGTTGTAGGACTTTTGCATGTCTGTCGCATCATAGACAATTTCTGGTAATAGCTGTGCGTTCTCTCTTACAGAGCTTGTAACTACTGTTACCGGTTTTGTGGTGTTGACTCGTGTTTCATATACACTAGCTGTGTAGTGTCTTGGTGTATCAAAATGAACAACATTGGCTGAAGAGGATGGTCTACCGCCGTCAACCTCATCTTTCCTCGATGGTATGTCTTGACCTAAGTCTGACTGGCGTAGAATTGCAGGTCTCTTTCTCACACGTAGTTCATCTGTTCGATCAACTGTGTCTATGGACAGCTGACGTTTCAACTTTGTTTTTGGAGGATCCAGGAGTTTGATAGGGTGGTCCTCTAGGTCGTCATCCTCTTTGGTATTCAGATTTTTTTCTGGACAAAGAAAGTCACATTAATATTTGCAAACCAACAGTATTACTTGATGCGACTTGTGAAATTCAAATAAGTCTATAAAGAAATGTAAAGTGTGTCATTTAATAAAAATAACATAAAATGTGAACGAGTTATTTTGCGTGTAATTGTTTCATTTTTTTCTTCTCAATTCTTCATACCATGAAAGACATGGTGAGTGAAACGGTTAAAATTAGAATTAGATACAGTGTACACAATTTAATAATTTTTCTTGTAAATGATATGATGTTCAAACAAAAATAAATGTTTACACAAAATGAATACATGTCATTTAACCATTTAAAAGTTTTATTGCATAAGGTGTATAATTGGAATACAGGTTTTGATAAGATTTGACCTGAATTGAATTTGATACCTGTAGGTTGAAATGTTTTGGTGTAAATTTGTCATTGAATGACATTGATAAGATAATAATGGCAAACGTTTTATCAAGACAGGAAGTGCTTTTTCATGATACCAAACGTGTTCATTCATATACTGGGAAAAATGAATTAAGATAAAAGTTTGAGTTAAACTTGTTACCTGTTAAGAAATTTCAACAGGTACTACAGTTGATATGTTGAAATATTGAAAAATCAAAATCGCAGTTGTTTTTTGCGTATGAATTTTGGAACCTTCGGCAATTTCGTATATTCCGTATACAGTATCTGATATGTTTTTGAAAGTGTTGACATTTATTCAGTATGACGCACGTACAGTGTTAACAAGACATTCATAATGGCAAATTTATATACAGAATTTTTAATTCATAACAAATTATATATTGACTTGAAAGCAAAGAAAGTAGAAAAAATATATGTTATTAAAAATAAAAATATACAAAAAACCATACCTTTATGAACAGTTTCTTTTGCCATGTCGTCAATACTTGTTTTAGAGGAGCACAAGAGCACAGGGGCTGTAGAGATGGACACTCAGGATAATTACCGTTCCGTGCCGGTACCCTCCCGGACAGACTTTCATGCAAGAGCCGGTTGAACAGAGGAAACTTAAACCAATAATGGATATCAATTCATATACTTTCTATTTAAGGTGAAAA